AAAAAAATGTGCATCGAAATGTACAATTTCAAATTGAATGACAAAGCTTTGAGCGATTTTTACTGGCATATTAACACCGATAGCAAAAACAACCACTGTCAATTTATAACATTCAAATGTGTGTTCTAGAGTGTTATTTTGAGTAACAGCAGCCGCCGAAGCAGAAGCGTAGTAATTAAAAATGCGCAAAAATATGCACGTCATGCAATCGTTGAAATGATGACGATTTGTTTTCTCTCATTTCATCGATTGTTCAGTAGTTTTCGCACGTCGCGCCCGATATATAACAATTGAGTTGATTTCAACTATATGGTACATACACAACAATTGGAATTCAGATGAACGTTCAACGAATCATAGCACTATCATTGGACACAAATTGAATGGGTTTTGGAAATAGCGAATATTTTTTATTTGCTTTTGTTATGCTTTTTTCCATTTGGCCAACGATAAAAACCGAATAAACTGGATTTTATTGGCAAAGTTGATTTTATTGACGGATGAAATACCGAAAATAGTAAATAAAAATGCCATTTTCTCTCTCTCTCTCGCTCGCTCTCTTTTCTCTCTGAATGCTTTGTTCGTACTTGCGTTCAAATCGTCTGAGTGCGAGCGAAATACAGAGATAAACAGCGAACGAACAAGCGAACAAATGAATGAAGTGGAGAGAAGCGAACATTCGATTCCAATAGATCCATTGAATGCTAGATTAAACTGTTGATCGACAACTCAATTTTCTATTGCTATAAGTAGGATACAATTTGTGCTTATGCGATTTTCGTTTTTGTTTTATGCGTTTTATTTGTGTCCCTTTTTTGTGGGCAAAATCTCTCCATTTATTCATTTTATGTGATTTTGATATGTTTTGTCGTGCGCGCAATGCAGCACATTACATCTTGTTGCTGTTGCTGTCGCTGCTTCCACCATTTCTTTCGGTCGCTTTTCTTTTCCCACGCCTCTGTTCATCTCAAACTTTTCTCGTTCCCTATCTATCTAGTTATTGTTGTTTATCATTCCGTATTTGTCATTCAGTTGATTGTTATTTTGCTTTTCGAATTTTACTGTTCGGGATGTTTTCATCTCCTTGCTTTTATGAACACACAAGTATTTTAATCTATTGTACTTTCGACAGGCAATCGCAATACTTTGCATAGCCACTGCTGCTGCTGCATGTTTGTGGCATCTAGATTGCGTACGGTTGTGTGTGTGTTGCTTCACCTTTTTTCACTTTGGTTTTGGTTTAGTTTTTGTTGCTTAACTAGAGCAATGGGAAATTTTATATCATTCATTCATTTTAGTTTTCTCGTCTCTCATATGCTCGACTCTTTGCGGTTTCTCTCCGTCTCTCCCTCCCTTCTGAACTTTGTTCAAGTGACAGTGATGCTGAAAGATTTCAATGTACGATTAGCTGAAGTCAACCTTTATAATTTGCTTTCGGTCAAATTGAACACATGTGCAAACTAATGCTGGCACGAATTTTGATCTCTTCATTCCGATTTCATCGTAAATAATGACATACTCACAAGCATCAAAATTCCGAATGTTTGGTACAAACATGAAGCTATGATTCAAAATACACATTCAAATACGCACACACACACACACACATTTTCCAAACGAACTGAACCGAAACGTACGATTGAACGACAGAAATCTTTCATCTTGTATACTTACTTGATAGAAATCACGTTTTGTCAGCTGTAAATAAGCGTTATCCGAGCTAAATAAAGGATTTTTCAATGCAAAGTTTATCTGGCATGAATTAACAACGGAAAACATGTCACGTTGAGCAAAAGTTTGAATTGTAAATGTCATGAGTGCTGTGTGTTTTTTTTAAATGTGCGCTCATTTCATACAGAAATCAAAAGACTGCTGGCGATGGCAGTGATGGTTTTTACTTTTGTTTTATTTAAGAATGTCAACAGGAATTTGTCAATACTTTCACTACTTCATCACAATGAAAATGTTGTGTGATAAAAATTGATGGCAATTGTGCACATACGAGAGTGCAGTGAAAAGAGAGTGTGTTAAAGTGTTCGATCAAAATCTTATACAAAATTTAACATTGTAAGCATTTAAAATGATTGAAAATGGACTTAAGTTGAATAACCGAAATTCCATTTGAATCTCGCCCATTTTCGAAATGAATAAAACGAACAACAAACGACTCCGCGATTTACGAAGCTGTGTACGCGCAAGCTGTATAATTTTCGGTTTGAAATCAAGATAAAAAAAATGCTGGTGTTACTGTGGCATCGTCTTGAAATTAATTATGAAAATTGCTGATGAAAGAGAAATGCGCTCCAAAAAAAATACTTTATATAAATGAGACTTTCAGCGCGCGTAATCAATGCACAGCAAAAGTGAGAGAAGACGAGATGAAAAAAATAAAGCAGGTGCAACACAAAATCGGTCAAAACGTAGCATTGTTATTATCATATATGTATGTATGTGTAATGTGTATACATGTATGCGAGATCAATATTCTCGGTTAAAAAAATTGGCCCGATGAACGGCATCTCTTCTTTGCTTTAACGATAAATCAATAACGATGAAAACCAAAGAATCGGAAATTCGTTAGTTTTGAAGAGTGGAAGAAACATATCGAGAATTGACGAAGAAGCACGAAAATATGTGCACCAAACGTATCCGTTGAATATAATTCCGTCAGTTTTGCGTTATCAGTTTGTATCATACAATCCATTTCCACACACATCAACAATTTGATATTCGAATTTTTCCGCTGGCTATGCATTAATTTCATACGAAATACGATTTCGATCTACATTCACATTTAATTTCGTTTCTGTACAATAAACGATGTACAATTTTCGATTTTTTTTTTTTTGCAATGTATGTTAACTGAAATACGATAAAGTAATTTTATGTGTTTCAAATTCAGTTCACGATGAAACAAATTCTGACTCACAAAGATTTTTATTTTTGACTCGCAATAAATGTTGTTAGCCACGAGAGAAAACTACAAAATCACCAATTTGTAATAACTTTCCTAAGCGAAACTATGAGTGCCTGAATTTTAATGGAAACCATTCTTAGTAAACCTTGGAAAACTTTTGTTTTCGTGTCATCCACAGCCATTCTAAAAAAAAGAAACACTGTGAAATCTGGTGATCACGTAAATGTGTTTCAAAATTCAAGTGTTTATTTATCCATTTCGGTGAACATATCTTTGATGAATGTTATTCTTCTATTGAACATTATTAAACTAATGGCAAAGCCATCGATCACTGAACTTTTGATTCGTATATTTATTTTCCAAAATGCCAACAAACATTTCGATCCTGTAGGCATGTATTCAAGTGAACCTTTAAAAAAATTGCTGATCAAAGAGAATGTACCGAAATTTAAATGGGAAAAAAGGTTGTTGCTTCGCTTTGTGATTGGCAAGGAAAGGTGAAAAGAATGGGATAGCTGACAATATCAGTTTGGTCATTGAATTTGCATGTGTCTGTGTAAGAGAATGCGTGTCCAACAACATGGTTCTAAGTTCAACTGAAATTAAAACTACCTGTGTTAGTAGACGGCATCCAAACATTTGTTTGAATTGATATTTTGTACGTGAATAAAATTAAAGACGATGCTAAGACATCAAAGGCACATATAACATATACTTTTTTTTTCTCTCGAAGACACATACAAACAGCAGAGACTATGTGTGGACGAAAGATGAAACGACAATTTCGATGAGAATGATGCAAAAAGAACCCAAAAAAAAGAAAGAAAAAAATGCGAACACCTTGGTGGTCAGTTCAATCAAATTCACCAGGGCAATAGTTCATTCGACGAGAAACACATTGAAATACTTTTCATTTCGGTTCGCATGGTTTCGATTCATTCGGGTCCATAATTAAAGGTAGGACATTATCAAACATTGAAAACACATCTTTATGAACCGATATACGCAATTCTTAACAACAACAAAAACATTGATGATGGCGAGAAGGATGAGGACGACGACGACGACGAAAAAGGTGCTAAATAACATATTTAATTTGGATTCAGTTGTTGAAAATACGACAAATTATCAAATGCAGTGTGATTGGATAATTGATAGAAATAAGGTAAAAACTATTCGATGTCGAAGGTGAGAGTGTAATTTAACATTTGAAATGTGCTTACAAACACCCATATCTTTATCATTCACCTCGAAAAGTTATTTTGTTTTGTACGCTGTCCAAAAAAGGTTCGTAATCAAATTACAAACGAGAGCAGCAAAAAAAAAAAAGAAGCGCTAAAGTACACAATAAGCTATACGAGCTCACTGGACCGTTACAGTGAGTGCACATGTCTAGAGCCACACATGCACACATTGATGGCGATCGATATACAAAGAAATACCGACCGACGAAAGTAACGAAAACGAAATAAAAACAAACCAGAATCGATCCAGCGAATAACAACAAATGCGACGATGAAAAAAAAAGAGCGATGCAAAACATCTGCTTTTTTGACTGACCAGTTGTGATTGGCCAGAAATAAAAGAAACCAAAATGCATTATCAGTGATTTTTTTTTGGTTTACCTTTTTCGATCAAGCACACATACAAACGATTAAATTCATCACCATCGACGATAAATTTGTATAAAAATCTTTCGTTATATATTTAGAGATCGTTTCCTTGTCCGAGAGATGTTGATTTTTGTTTTGTTCGTCTTTTAAATATCAACGCATATGGTGTACCATTTTTGCCATTGGCTATTTCCTCTTTCTCTCTCTCTCTGTCGTTTTACCAGTTATGTTAATATTACTTGTTGCAAGAATATAACGAATTTTCGCCAGGTGTTTATGGATTTCGATTTTATTTTTATTAGGATCAATGTTTGATGTCGTTTTTGTTTCTCTCTCTCTCTCTTCTGAACAGTTTGATTGCATTGAAAATTCATCGGTGTCGCCGATAATCACATGACGCATCTACATATATACATATGTTGAGATCAACTAAATAACATAAAATAATCCAATAGGTTTTTATTACTTACTTGAATTTGACTGCGTCGAAAATCATCGTCACGTTGAATTGCTTCGGCTTGTAGTTCTTTAACAGCTTGTTCAAGATTCTCTTGTCGCAATCGAATTGAATTCCATTCCAATTTCAATTTGTCAAAATCGTCACGCAGTTCGACCAAATCTTCAGCACAATTACTGCGTTGTTGCAAACGACGTGTCGTATTATTTTGCACATCCTGTAATTCCGTCAATTCAGCACGAAATTCGGCAATAACCTTCGAAAACCAATCAACTGTCAAACGCTCCTTATTGCTTACCGTATTCGATTCACTATGTATCGAACCCATTGTTGACGATTGATTGTTGCGCATTTTTTTCAAAGACTTTACTTCGTGTCTGAAAAGAAAATATAAAAAAGACGTATACACGGTTATGAATATGTTTAACACACAGAGAAAAGGTAAAAAGTATTTGAAAAAAAAAAAAAAAATGAGGGGACTGAAAATGAAAACACTGATAAAAGTTGTATAAAATAGTAATTCACTTCATATTAAAATTCTTTGTTGAAGGAGATAATGCCATAAAGAAATTGAACCCATCGGAATATACATTAAATAAAGTTTACGGCTGAAGTAGCATGTATGTGAGAATATTTGGAAGAAACTTTTCTTATACACGCATTTTTATTTCATGGCAATAAGAATTGACGTATACGGTGGATGCCAAAAGTTGTTTGTTTATTCATGGTCGTATAACACTAGCCTCCATACGCAGGCGGAAATATAGAACATTTTAAATAAATCATTCAAATTATATAGAAAATCAATGGATTGCTTTGGTTGACATTGTTTTGTGAGTTCAGTCCATTTTCCGTTTAATATCCGAGTGAATGTTATCTTATATTCGATATAAAGTCGGTACATATAAATCATGATATATCAAAATTCCTGTTCAACTGTTTTGCCGGTGCTCAGTGGTACCGTAAACTGTCATCGAATCCAATGTTAAACTGAACTGTATAATTGACACAGTTTGAATATTGTCGTATTCGTATGTTATGTGTATAAGTATATGCAACAATTATCAACGCTACTGTCATTTACTAAACCATTATGACTCCCTTTTACATGCATGTATAAGTGAATGTATGCATATGTTTTATTTGGATGCGATAAAGTCATGCGGTGTTAACATAAAGTTTGACAGTTAATATAATTGGCATGGGCATATGGTTGTGCAAATAGACAATGTACACACAACGTCATTTAAACAAATATATGCTTATTGTGTGTATAGTGGGTATGTGGTGACACGGATGGAGAACGAGTTGAAATTGAATTAAAAAAAATGTTACAGAGAATAAGTCCACATATATCGTGAGGATAATACAATCCAAAAATCAACTAGTGTTTGCTCTTCGGATGTATTCCGAGAATGGGAAAATATTTTCGATACACAGTTTTCTGGCTGTATTCATAGCAATTACCCAAGTTTTGGCCTTCTCATGTCTATGTATACTGGTTTTTCCACCCGGCCCTTTTTTAGCACTTAACTCAAACTATGTATGCGTAATGTACCGTTGTTTTAGCTTTCTAGTTATTAAACTCGACAAAAATTTGAGTAAAGTTCTTTTACTCCGTATTTTGATTATTATGGGTGCGACGAATTAGCAAACAAACCGAAAACCAAAAAAAGTATTGTTTCATTTTCATACACACAATCTCAACGTAATGTTCAGGATTTTCATTTCAAATGGTTGGGCGAGTGTGTCTGTTTTGTAACTAGATTTGTTATGTGAGTTTTATGCATGCTTCACATACACATTTTTCCCTTTTCCATTTACAAAAGCATTCGGTCTTGTATTGCGAAATGTGTAAATTAGTCACTAAATGCAATCAGGCGTCGAAATTTCTTTAGGCCATACACACACGCGCCAATTTATTCCAAGATTTTTACTTCAAATGAATTGCTAACAAAAACATCACAACGAAAAACAAAAAATAATGACCATTTATGCACATGTGCACGAGCATCATGTATATATTCTTCAAATTTGCAATTCGAATCGCTTTTGCTGTAGCAAAATAGATGTATCTTCATTGGTTTGGGCTAAAAATCTTTCGTTCGTAAATTCAAGCACTGAAAGTATTTCATGAACTTAACGTTAATGATAATTAGTCTTAATTTCCTTTTTTTTTTCCTTTCTTTGTCCACTTTCTCTCGCGCCTTCTTGAAGAATGTTTTGGTTGGTAGAGACACAAAGGGATACCAAAGACCAAAGATTCATTAAATGGATCGCACATTGAATTTGTTGGCCATTTTCATCACATGTGAAATTAGGAGACCATCACCACGACCAGCACCATATTCTCATTTGATTATTATGTTGTGCTGTTGCTATAACCTTCAAGTTTTACGCCATATTCGTTACATATTCTTTTAGATGATTATAATTAGCTTTTACTCTATTTGTAGTAATGCTCGCATATCATTCTCTCTCTCTGCCTCTTTATTTTAACTTTATTCATTTTTTGCTTTCTTCTCGTTAAACTTCTCGGCCATTCTCTGGGGTATTTTTTTCTTCTTACATCGTATGATTCTAATGTTTCAGGCAGATTATGTTGACCGAATCCAAATGCCTAAATGAACAAACTGGCTGCAAACCGAACCGAAAAAGCGAGAAAAACGCGCGCATATATGTATGGTAACTTTTTTTGGGTGTCTATGCTATTCTGTCTATTAAATTATATCTAATCTGAAGGGGCCGGTTTTTTTTGCTCCTCTGTGGTTTTGTTGGATTTAAGTCCTGACGCAGTAATGAATAAATTTCATTTTAAAGTGAATCATCCATATGGCCTCGGTTTTTGTTAGCTTTGAAATTGCTAGACATTTAAAAAAAAGCCTCTACACCAATTATCTTCAACCTCAAATAAGGTTATATTGGTTATAAAAATTAAACAAGTTCTTTTTTTCAATATTGTTCGGAGAGTTTTTTTTTCAATATTGATTCACTTTTTTACACAATTCGAATTTATCCTGTGATTAATTTCTCGATTAAACGATATTGATCAATGAAAAACGCATAAAAATATAAATTGATATTTTGTAGTCCATTGTGCTTATTTTATTAATTAAGTGATCATTTTTTTTTAATGGAGATAGAAAACGCATTGCTATTACCTATAAATGGGCTAGCATATCAACAATATATAATTGATTATCCAAAATGTTTGCCTCGTTCATGCATTAATTGGAAACGATGAAAAGAAGATGGAAAAAAGTGAACATTTTTCACATAGCAGTATAAACTGTTGAACCCTATGGAACTGTTGAAGAATGTAATGGCAATAGATGTTGTTAGCGAAATGTACAATGTTTACTGCCCAGTTAGTGTTGTTTACGGTTCAATTCTAATTTTAGCAAATGTTCGTCATATCCACAGTTTTTTCAATGAACATTGGTACACAAAACACGTATAGACACACAGTGTATGTGTGTGTGTGAGAGAGAAAGAGAGAGAGAGTGGCATCCATACATAATTAGTAAATGAGGCCGACTTTGAGGGCAAGTAATAACGTGGCCAAGGTGTATAGAAAGAATGCATCAATTTTAATTAAAAGGAGGCAACTATGTGCTGAAAGTGTACCGAAGTGTATATTTGATGCGTATTCGCCGTGAAAGCAGGTGGTGCATGATGATGAACAACGAGCACTAAGTGAATACGTCGGTGCGGTTATGTTCAAAACAACATTCTAATATTGAAATGACGTCTTTTTTTTCATGCCTTTTCTTATACTTGCCGTTGTTTCACCAAATGATTGCGTATATGTGTTGTTTTTTTTCTTATGCACATTGTTCTTTTCTTCTGTTTTCTTTTTTGGATTCTTTTTTTTTGTACAACGAATGGCATTTTATGCTGATGTCGCGAAAAAAAACTGATTTCTTTCTTTGGGGTGGAGAAAACAATGCACAAATATATGTGCAATGCATGCATTTCGATATAATGACTGTTAACGAATGCTGAATATGAGTAAATACAGTGTACTATACACATACTGAAACATAGGATTGATATATGCGAAGCAAATGGTTCACTTTCGATGTACGATTTCTTTGCACATAGTATCGACTGGTTAATATAGGATCCTTGCCTTCGTCGTTGATGATGCAGATAACCATGGCAATCCATCTTCATATGTACATATATTTACACACACACATACACATACACTAACTAGCAAGCGAGAATAAAAAAAAAACAAGAGCCAGGAAACTCATCGTACACATTTGCACATTTCACATCTCCACGGATTAATTCACATTTGACCTGAATTTGTATGTTTGCGCGCATCCCATCTCATCGACATCGTTGAAAAGTTGATGTTCGGCAATGCTGCCACTTCTTTTTGTCTTTGTTACTTTTTATTCTTTTTTTCTCCAACATCCTCTCTCTCTCTTTCATTCTGAAGCACTCCCGTTCGAATTTTTCTATTCGTTATTTGCTCACTTCATCTTCGTTCTTTGCGATATCTTTTTTTTGTTCTTGGTGTGTGTTTTTTTGCCTCCAATGAATGCTGTTGCTGTCACTATCGTGAATTCATTCATCGATGTGAATGAATGTAAAACGCACTCGGATGTGTTTGTGGTGAAAGTACCGCTGAAGATGCATCGATATAAGGAGGACATTGAGAAATTTGTCGTAACTGAATATAACTAACTGTTTTCGACTGTTGTTGATGGCAGTGGGGTTGGTAGAAAAAGCAAACGAAAGAGAGAGAGAGAGAGAGAGAGAGAGAGAGAGAGAGAGAAGTAGATAGAAAAAAACAATGTCGAACGGTATGGAAATGTGGAATCGGAAAGAGAGCACATTACTTATGCATCCTTTGCATACCGTTCGGTTTATTTTTTCTTGATTCTGATTTTCTTTTTTCGTTTTAAAAGTTTCATTTTAGTTTGGATAGTGTGTGCCTGTGCATGGCACGAATCCAGTGAAATTTGTATTTTACTTCTGAATAAAAAGAAGTTCTAAACGGGGATTTTTTAGAGCGTAAAAATCTTCAATGGCAATTATTGAGATTACAACCAATAACACACGTAAATAGAGCTTTTTACCTTTCTTCTGGCATTCTTTACAATAATCTTCATTTCCATTTTACCAATTGATTCCCTTCCACATAAACATTATGTCCCGCATTCTTCTTGTAATACATTTTCCTTCCCTCTCAAACTCATTTCATCAAGCATTCAGTAATGAATTCATACAGGCACCGCAACCATGTATGGTTGCATAAGATTACATCAGTAGTGCAATACAATCAAGCCACTGTACGGATATAAATCAGAGACTCCATTCAGTACTGTTGTCCAGAAGTTGACTGAATATTCAGGCATGCGGC